TCTCTTAAAAAAAAAAAAAAAAAAAATGTCTTAAGGACATAAAACCAAATCAATTCAAAACTGAAAGTTGTCTTAGCCAGGCAAGGTGGCTCACGCCTGTAATCCCAGCACTTTGGGAGGCTGAAGTGGGTGGATCACCAGGTCAGGAGTTCAGGACCAGCCTGACCAACATGGTAAAACCCTGTCTCTACTAAAAATACAAAAATTAGCTGGACTTGGTGGCACTTGCCTGTAGTCCCAGCTACTCAGGAGGCTGAGGCAGGAGAAGCACTTGAACCTAAAATGTGGAGGCTGTAGTAAGCAGAAATCGTGCCACTGCACTCCAGCCTGAGCAACAGAGAGAGACTCCATCTCAAAAAAAAATTATCTTTTTTTTTTTTTTTTTTTCTCCTGTGACAGGGTCCCATTCTGTCATCTAGGCTGGAGGGCAGTGGCACAATCATGGTTCACTGCAGCCTCAACTTCCTAGGCTCAAGCAATCCTCTCACCTCACCCTCCTGAGGAGCTGGGATTACAGGAGCTCACCACTACACCCGGCTAATTAAAAAAAATTATTTTTGTAGAGACAGGGTCTCACTATGTTGCCTTGGCTGGTCTTAAATTCCTGGACTCAAGCGATCTTCCTGCCTTGGCCTCCCAAAGTGTTGGAATTACAGGCATGAGCCACCATGCCCTCAAATATTAAATATTTTAATCATCTTCACTGAAAGAAAATGAATCAATCATATTTGCCTATGTCCTACAGAGTAAAGGTCTCTGGAAAACATATGACTTAAAGAAGAGAATCATTATTGTACAAAAGAACAGCTTACCTTAGGGTGCACCATGATGATTTTACGTAAAATATGCTTTATAACCAGACAATCTGTCATCAAAGTTCTGGGCTTTTCATCCACCTGTAATAACACAAGAAAAACACCGACCAGACATACACAATCTTAAGAGCACAAATGAATTAAATTATGGCATTTCCTCTTCTAAAAGTAACTATACCTCAGAAAGCTTTTTGAACATCCAAGGGGAGGCATCTTTGGGAATGAGAATGGTATGCAAAAGAAAACCTAAATAGCCATCACTTCTTGGGCTAGAGTATCTATTACATGGAACCTCAGGAGACACAAGAACAAAGATCAGAGTAAAACTCATAATGTCAAAACCACCTTTGGGGACAAATTTAAAAGTAATTCAGATTGGAGTTGATAAGAATAACTCTACCACCCTAAAGGCTTTGGAACAATCGGTATTAAGAATCTGAGTGATGCTTTTTAAAAAATAAATTTCAAAAAAGTATCTGAGTGGAGATGAAGGAGCAAACACTAAAAGAAATCTATCTTTGACATCAATCCATTAATCCAAACATTTATTTATAAGGAAAAGCTGTAGAGCAAAAAGCCAAAAGTCAGATGACCTGTGTTCTAGTACTGGTTCTGTTTAAAAAAATAAAAAAATAAAAATTAACTACTCACAAATAAAAAATCACTGCTCTGGATCTCATTTCCTAGTCTCCAACACAGGAATAAAACCTACCTCCTCGGCCAGGCACAGTGGCTCACACCTGTAATCCCAGCACTTTGGGAGGCTGAGGTGGGCAGATCATGAGGTCAGGAGTTCAAGACCAGCCTGACCAACATGGTGAAACCCGTGTCTACTAAAAATACAAAAAAACACAAAAAAACAAAAAAAAGTGCTCGCTTCGGCAGCACATATACTAAAATTGGAACGATACAGAGAAGATTAGCATGGCCCCTGCGCAAGGATGACGCGCAAATTCGTGAAGCGTTCCATATTTAAAAAAAAAAAAAAAAATTAGCCAGGTGTGGTGGTGCACACACCTTGTAATCCCAGCTACTCAAGAGGCTGAGGCAGAAGAAGTACTTGAACCCAGGAGGCAGAGGTTGCAGTGAGCCGAGATCATGCCACTACAATCCAGCCTGGGTGATAGAACAAGATTCCGTCTTAAAATAAAACAAAAAAATTATAAAAACCTGCCCCCTTTGACCTGGCAGAACTGTTTTAAGGATCCATATATTTGAAAGTGTAGGCTGGGTGTGGTGGCTCATGCCTATAATCCCTGCACTTTGGGAAGCCCAGGTGGGCGAATCACCTGAGGCCAGGAGTTCAAGACCAGCCTGGCCAATATGGTGAAACCTCATGTCTACTAAAAATATAAAAATTTTCCGGGCATGATGGCATGTGCCTGTAATCCCAGCTGCTCAGGAGGCTAAGGTAGGAGAACTGCTTAAACCTGGGAGGTGGAGGTTGCAGTGAATCGAGATGGCACCACTGCACTCCAGCCTAGGTGACAGAGCTAGACTCTGTCTCAAAAAAAAAAAAAGAAAAGAAAGTGTACATTATACATGGTAACAATAACAGATACGACTCATTGAATACCTACTATGTGATAAGTATTATGTAGGTGCTATATATATACTACCTCACAATAATCCTATAAGGTAGGTATTGCAATCTCTCTCTCTTTTTTTTTTTTTGAGATGTAGTTTTGCTCTTGTTGCCCAGGCTGGAGTGCAATGGTGTGATTTCAGCTCACTGCAACCTCCACCTCCCGGGTTCAAGCGATCCTCCTACCTCAGCCTCCCGAGTAGCTGGAATTACAGGTGTACACCACCAGGCCTGGCTGTTTTTGTATTTTTAGTAGAGATGGGGTTTTGCCATGTTGGCCAGGCTGATCTCAAACTCATGACCTCAGGTGATCTGTCCACCTTGGCCTCCCAAATTGCTGGGATTACAGATGTGAGCCACCGCACCTGGCCCCTTCTTAGATTTTTTTTTTTAAAGGCTCAGAGAAGTTAAGCAACATGCCTAAGGTCACTTAGTTGTTCAGTTACGCAGCCAGAACTTGACCATAAGTCTTTGTTTTTTTGTTGTGTGAGTGACCTTAAGTCTTTCTAATATCAGCTGCCCATGCTCTTTCCAATACACTACAAACACTTCCCTACAAATATAAGATTTACCACTAGGTGAAGACTTTACTCCAGGAATGGTGCCAAAGTTATCTTGTTTATATTACCTAATTTAAACTTCATAAAAATTCTATTAGGTACCCAAATTTTATAAATAAAAGATTATGCAGGATCTGGATTTTTAAAAACGAAGGAAAATAAAAATATATATTTTACAAAAGAGTCTCAAAAAGGTTAAACAGCTTGTTCAAGGTTAGCCAGGCTGATCTGGCTCTAAATCTTTAGCATTAACCACTTACCTATACTGACTCACTACTATAGTATTTCTAAAACAAAAGTTAGAAACAGCCTCCTAGAAAATACAGAAGTCCAAAAAAATGAAAGAAGAAATACAATGAGAAATCAGTTGTTTGAGAGAATATAGAGCCATGTACTAGGTATACGTTAAAAAGAAAAATGGTCCCAAACATAAAAATTTGATAACACAAAATGAAGAAACACACAAATATATAAGGATAAAATATTACAATATTTTATTTTATTACTATGCTTTTTAAAAAATTTATAGAAACAGGGTCTTGCTTTGTCACCCAAGCTGGAATGCAGTCACATGATTGTAGCTCACTGCAACCTCGAACTCCTGGGCTCAAGCAATCCTCCCACCTCAGTCTCCCAAGTAGCTGGGACTACAAGTGTGCATCACCATACCGGCTAATTTTTAATTTTCTATAGAGACAGGGTCTCACTATGTTGCCCAGGCTGGTCTCAAACCCTTGGCCTCAAGCAATTCTCCCACCTTCGCCTCCCAAAGCACTAGAATTACAGGCATAACATCCAGCCTTAAAATGTTTTTTATAAGTACACTGAAAAAGAAGTCAAGAACTGTGGCAATAGCTTGGGATTTAAAAAAATTATTTGAAGGCCGGGCGCGGTGGCTCATGCTTGTAATCCCAGCACTTTGGGAGGCCAAGGCGGGTGGATCACGAGGTCAAGAGATCGAGACCATCCTGGTCAACATGGTGAAACCCCGTCTCTACTAAAAATACAAAAATTAGCTGGGCATGATGGCGCATGCCTGTAGTCCCAGCTACTCGGGAGGCTGAGGCAGGAGAATTGCTTGAACCCAGGAGACGGAGGTTGCGGTGAGCCGAGATCGCCCCATTGCACTCCAGCCTGGGTAACAAGAGCAAAACTCCGTCTCAAAAAAAAAAAAAAAAAAATTATTTGAAAAAATTATTACAAAAATGGGCCGGGCATGGTGGTTCACATCTGTAATCCCAGCACTTTGGGATGCCGAGGCAGGAGTGCTTGAGGTCAAGAGTTCAAGACCAGCCAGGCAAACATGGTGAAACCCCACCTCTATTAAAAACATACAAAAAAAATTAGCCAAGTATGGTGGCATGCTCCTGTAATCCCAGCTACTCTGGAGTCTGAGACACGAGAATCACTTGAACCTGGGAGGTGGAGGTTGCAGTAAGCTGAGATTATGCCACTGCACTCCAGCTTGGGTGACAGAGTGAGACCCCGCCTCAAAAAAAAAAAAAATTACAAAAACAGATGGGGGATTATTAGAAAATTCTGTAAACACGTCTAGGATTATTCATGCATGTAAATAGTGGTAATTAAATAATAACTGTAGTCAGTATATATATCGTAGTCACATCCTTCATTTTTAAAATTTTAGTATAAAATGTTTAAACAATAAAAAAGCAATAGTTTTTAAAGCATTTTCTGTACTTACCATTTCCAAAACAACTTCTTGGAACAGTTTCAAACCTTTGTAAACTTGGTGATTATAGGGCGTATCATAGAGAGGGCTAATTACATCTAACAGTGAGACAGCTGAAGTGAAAGTTCCTTGAGCAACTACTGGAGAGAGGCTACAATGAATGATTATATTTACTGAATACTTGCTACATGCCAAGCAGTTTCTATGCAAGTAAGAAATAACCCCATTTTATAGAAGATAATGAGATTCAATAAGCTAATTAACTTGTCCAAGGTCACACACAGCTAGTTAAGTAGCAGCACTGGGATTCAGACCTAGAACTGACTAACTCCACACTCCACATTCTATTATGCAATGTTGCCTCTCCAAAAATGTTCATTTTCTGTGTATGCAGGTAGCTATCTGAATCGGATAATATATAATCCATCATTATTTTTTATAGAGCAATGCTTATGTACGGCTACTCAATATATGCATTTACTCGCTCATAAAATATTAATGTGGCTTATTATGTACCTGGCCTATAAAAATAAATAATGACAATCTCTGAATTAGAAGAGTTCACAGTTCAGTAGAAGTGAAAGACTAATTTATATGGCAATGTGAAATTTAGATAAATGAGGTGCTAAAGGAACACACCAGAAGAACTGACACCTAACCCAGAGTTAGGATAAAGTGACTAATGTCAGGTCAGAGAGGATAGTTAATACAACACAACTAGCCACTTTTCAGATCTACTCATAGAATTATTAGAGAGAGGAAGAGAGAGATGACAAAGCCTTTTACAATTGGGTGTTGGGTGTTAGAGACCCAGTATCCGAGCCTGACATACCTACAGAAGCACTGAACTTACTTATGTACTGTTATGAAAAAAATGGATACTGCCACCCCTACACAGCAGAAACCGCTATTAAATCGCATGGTTTTAGCCTTCACCTTTAAGTATGTCTAATTATATGATAGAATATATAAGTATGTTTTCAAATATGAACTTATGCAGTCATGAGCCCTTTATATTACATTCTAGAAGAAAGTCTCAATCTCTCTTCCCCCCTCACTTTAGATACATACACACAGAATTATAGATGTATAAATATATAGATATGTTTGTGCATATATGTGTTTGTAAGTATATATGTATAACTCCATTCACTTGATCATTTAGTATTATTACAAAAATATTAAACTGGACAAAGCTGTCAAGAAGATCTTATAAAATGAGATTGCTTTTGGAGGGACATGTTACCTGGCCTAATGAACCTCAAGATGCAAGACTAGCTGTGGGCATAAACGCAAAGCCCAATATCTCTCCTAAATGAAACTTTCCTTAGTCTTCCTTGCGATTAACTTTCCTTGCATGCCCAAATTAATGACTCATTTATTATAGGCTTGGATGTCTGTTAGTCTTTGCCGTGAACCTTGCTATTTAACCTTTCTCCTCAATTGAGGCATAAATGATGAAATCTTTTACAATCTTCTTTTTATTTCTTCTCATTCTTTTCATTCAAATATTGTTTAAATAGCTGCACCGTATCCAAAACAATGAGATATAATGGAAGAAATGCATGAGGAAATCCTTGTTCCCTTGAGGCTAATGCCGTCTGACTATACTATTCTTTTACCTCCATCACCAGCTGACTCCTGGTCACGAAGCTCACAGTTTTCCTCTGTACTCCACATGCTGTCATCATCTTGACTGATACCCATATCCAAGCAGATAACTAGCCCAAGCATCAACTTAGTCTCACAATTCCCTGACCTTTTCAACAATAATGACCCTGATCTCCACTCGGTCCCAGCAACCTATTTCCATGGCCACGGCTTAGAACTGTTCCATTCTGAAAATCTTAACTTGCAATTTCCCACTCTATTGTGAAAAGATGTACACCAAGATATTAATAATGACTGCCTTGAAAGGCCAAATTATGTGTATTTTAAGTATCTGTTTTGATCATACTTTGACTTTTCTGAGGGAAACACTATTTTTGCAATTTAAAAAAAAAGAGAGACAGAAACTTTATCACTCTGATAACAACTTCCTATTCTTTCAAGTGTCAGAATCTCCTACACCCAGCAAATCTGTTTTTCAGTCTCATCAAGATCTCCTGACTTTGACCTCTTCCCATGGTTTAGGTGCCCTTCCTCCACACTAACATAGCATTCAGTGCTTGCTTCTATCATCCATCCTGTAAATCACCCCATATTGTAATTATGCGTTTACTTCTTGATCTATCTATATTACAAGTTCCTTGGGACCAAGTAATGTATCTTAAGACGCTGTAACTACAGACAGTACCTAGCTCACTGACACTGACTTGAACAAACACACGTGTCTGGATGAATAAATAAATATTGAAATAGCCCTGATCTATATGAGTCAGACTTTGGTTCAAGTTCTAATTCTGCCACTTAACTTTTGTATGACACTGGGAGAGTCAGTCAAGTTCTCTGAGTCCCAACTTTCTGGTCTGTAAAATGGGGTGATAATCCTCATCCTACCCACTTCACAAACTTGTCAGGAGACTTAAATAATTTATATAAATATTATGCATACAAATTATTGCTTGTTCAGGCTGACTAAAATACAGAACCTCATTTCCCAGAATTGCCCTTCTTGGTTCACTGGAATCACCTTTTTATTGCTACTTGACATGAACAGCTTCAGAGCTGACTAACCATTAATTGCTCCAGATTGTTCACCCTCCATTCTCCTAAAGAAGATAAGGCACAGCCAGGAATATCTGTTGTCCTGTTGCATACCCATTTCTTTCAGAATGAGCGTGTAATTATTCAAACATGGAGAAAGGCTGCCCAACAGCTTCCTGGGAGAATGTTTAAAGCACTGCAATTCATTATGTCTCCACCAACTCTAAGTAAGGAAAATAGGAGATGAAAGAACTGTTAAAGGGAATGGAGAGTGAATTATCACTCTCATAAATCTGGACCACAAATAAGTCAATAAAAAGATCTCTAAGCCAAACTAATAAAAATGTATCCAAGTAAGATCTGCATGGAGAGTCACTTTTTATTTTATTAGGAGATCTAAATTCAAATAAGGGTTTGTTTCATTGGTTCTGTATATTAGTAATAATGTTCCAAAGCCTAGGCCATACTGTTATGGACTGAATTGTGTCCCTCAAAATTCATCTGCTGAAGTCCTAAGCCCCAGGGTGACTGTATTTGGAAGTAGGGCCCTCAGGAAGTTATTCAGAGTAAATGAGGTCATAAGGGTAGGGCCCTCATCCTAGGTCTTAATAGCACTGGTGTCCTTATAAAAAGATACACCAGAGCCAGGTGCCACTAGTCCCCACCTGTAGTCCCAGCTACCAGCTACTTGGCAGGTTGACACAGGAAGATCACTTGAGCTCAGGAGTTCAAGGCTGTAGCATGCTATGACTATACCTGTGAATAGCCACTACACTTCAGCTTGTGCAACATAGCAAGACCACATCTCTAAAAAAAAAAATTCAATAAAAATAAAGAGACACTAGAGATCTCTTTCTTTTCAGGCACACGCAGAGAAAAACCACATAAGGACACAGTAACAAGGCAGTAGTCTATAAGCCAGGAAGAAAGGCCTCACCAGAAGCCAGCACTGACAGCACACTGATCTTGGATGTCTAGCCTCCAGAACTGTGAGAAAATAAATCTCTATTGCTTAAGCTATCTAGTCTGTGGTATTTTGCTATGGCAGCCCAAGAAGACTAATAAGTATCATACCCAGACCAATTAAGTCACAATCACTCAGAATGGGACACAGATGACAGTATTTTTGGAACTCCTAGGCGATCTAATGTCTGTACAGGCAAGTTTGGGAGCCAATGCCTTATTTCATTTCAACTTGGAACTATGATGGATCTAGGCTTTTCTTTCTGTTACTAGATTTGCAGAAAAATAAGAATGAAATCATGAGTAATTTATAAGACCACAACAAAACCTGCCTCAAAAATCATCTGGAAGGGTGTTACTCCTGTCATGTCCTGAGAATAGCTGCTTTCCTCTGAAGTCCAAGTCAGCTTTGCAGAGATTCCAGGCAGTATGGACTGTATTTCTGTGTGAGAAGAAATGGCAACAAAGTCAAACAAGCAGTTTGGATAAGCACCAGGATTTCTGGATTTGTTTATTAAACTGGTGAGCCAAGAAGGCTTTTCCCTGATGAAAAGATTATCTACAAGATTTAAAATATGACTGGAAAGTGCTATGAATCAGCAAATTGCTTGAACATTTAGAATTACTTTATGGGATTAGGACATTTAATCTCATCTTTTCAATTTTTTTCATTTGCTAAATCAATTTTTATTTTCTGTTAATTTCCACAAGGTAATGTTTAATGCCATATAGCTTCAGAACTGATAGTTCTGATATTCTTGTATTTTTAAATAAATCAATTCATTATTTAATAAACCTAAGTCTAGTACATGAACTAATTTAGAGCTGAAGCCTGAAAAATTCAAGAGTGACTCTCAGGCAAATACCTTTCTTTCTTTTTTTTTTGTGAGATGGAGTCTTACTCTGTCACCCAGGCTGGAGTGCAGTGGTGTTATCTCAGCTCACTGCAACATCCACCTCCTGGGTTCAAGTGATGTTCATGCCTCAGCCACCCAAGTAGCTGGGATTAGAGGTATGTGACACCATGCCCGGCTTATTTTTTTGTATTTTTAGTAGAGAAGGGTTTCACCATGTTGGCCAGTCTAGTCTCAAACTCCTGGTCTCCAGTGATCTGCCCATCCTGACCTCCCAAAGTGCTGGGATTACAGGTGTGAGCCATCATGCCCAGCCCAGCATGTACCTTATATAGCATGTTCTTTAATGAGGTTGTCTTTAAAAAAGAAAATTAAACTCTTACCAATTTAATTTGTGGATTAACCACTTGGTATACTTGCATGTATTGAATCAGAACTATCTTTCTATAAAGCATCGACAAGTCCTGAATCATCAACAACGAAGAAAACAACCAAGTATGTACCATCTTTCTTCTTCTCTATACCATGTCACTCATATTACAAGGGAAAAACCAAGTCTCCTATCTCTTATTTTACAAAATGCCATCCCTATTTCCTCTACATGTATCTGCAAGATTTACTTTCCTTTTTTTTTTTTTTTTTTTTTTTTAAAGACAGAGTCTTGCTGTGTTGCCCAGGCTGGAGGGCAGTGGTGCAATCTCAGCTCATTGCAAGCTTCACCTCCCACGTTCAAGCGATTCTCCTGCCTCAGCCTCCTGAGTAGCAAGTATTACAGGTGCACACCTCCATGCCTGGCTAATTTGTGTTTTTTTAGTAGAGTTGGGTTTCATCATGCCGGCCAGGCTGGTCTCAAACTCCTGACCTCAGGTGATCTGCCCGCCTTGAACTCCCAAATTTCTGGGATTATAGGCATAAGCCATTGCACCTGGCCTGCTCTGTTAATGATGTTGACAATGTTGATATTACACAAGAATTAAACTTTGAAAACCTAATGATGATTAAAAAAATATGCCCTACAATAACAGCACAAGTTTCATGCTACATATCTCATAATGCTTTAAAAAAAAAGTGTAGACATTCCCAAATCAAATTCTAGCTAACGACTGGGCCTGGCAGCTCACGCCTGTAATTCCAGCACTTTGGGAGGCCGAGGCAGGTGGATCACCTGAAGCTGGGAGTTCGAGACCAGCCTGACCATCATGGTGAAACCTCATCCTATAAAAGTATAAAAAATTAGCAGGGCATGGTGGTGGGTGCCTGCAACCCCAGTTATTCAGGAGTTTGAGGCAGGAGAATCGCTTGAACCCAGGAGGTGGAGGTTGCAGTGAGCCAAGATCGCACCATTGCACTCCTGCCTGGGTGACAAGAGTGAAACTCAATCTCGAAAAATAAAAAGAAAGAAAGAAAATTAGCTATCAATCTTGATGTCTTACATCAATCTTCACTTTTGCCACTGATCAACTTTCTGACCTAAGGCAACCCCCTTTTTCTGTGATTCAATTACCATTCTGTGAAATAAGAAAAAATTATATCTGAATATTTCAGTTTGATTAGTAAGACAGTACAGAAATGGGGTAAATGTGGATATATGAGAAAAGGTTTATAAATAACTTTGAATTCTTTGGAAATCTTAATAATAATTTATAATAAATTATGTAGCTATTTGGGGGGAAATCAATTTCAATAGTCTCACTCCACATACACAAACACACAAATCCAGATAGATTGACCAGAGTTAAATGTAAAAAGGTGAAATAATAACTAAATAAAAGCCTTTGATTTCAAGATAAATCGAGTATATGCTATCACCTTCCTGTTCAAACATATAAAATAATACAAGAATTTTTAAATCTTAATAAATACATAGTTATGGTGAGAAAAAAAGAAAACAGAATTTTTTTTTTTTTTTAAATAGAGTCTTGCCCTGTTGCCCAAGCTGGAGTGCAGTGGCGCGATCTTGGCTCACTACAACCTCTGCCTCCCAGGTTCAAGATAGTCTCATGCCTCGGCCTCCTGTGTAGCTAGGATCACAGGTGTGCGCTACCATGCCTGGCTAATTTTTATCTTTTTAATAGAGAAGGGGTTTTGCAATGTTGGCCAAGATGTTCTCAAAAAGTGATCTGCCTGCCTTGGCCTCCCAAAGTGCTGGGATTACAGGTATATGACACCTTACTCAGCCAGAAAAGATAAATCTTCATAGACCAGAAATGGAAAGGTGTTCTTCTTCCCCCTTCTTTGAAAAGAACAACAAAAAGGGAACGAAAGAGAGATTCCACAATAGTAGACAAGAACTAAAATGATGCATGATATTTGGCCTAGACTAGGAACATAGAGCTAATACTGTAACACTCACAGGTTTAAGAGCAAGAGACACACACAGGAGGTCTAAGCAAGAGACCAATATATGAACAAAGGCTAGAGGCACACTACCTGTCTACCTGAATGTTAGTTACAGCCAAGGGGGTTCTGGTAGCAGCCTCACTGATGTGAGATGAAGGACATAGAGCCATTTCATGTAAGTGGTGAAAGGACTCAGAACTATATAATCTATTAAGATGCGAGAGCTTCACATTTTACCACCCATACAAAAATTAATTCTAGGTATACATCATACAAGGCTAAGGCTCAGTGACTCTCAGAGAGCCTCCTACAGGACAGTTGTCAAAACAAAATGTGTTCTGGTTAAACAGATCATAAACAGCTCTTAATTAAAAATTACCAGGCAAAGAAGATTAATACTATGAAAACTATAATACATATCAACCAATGCATTTACACCTAAGAAAATAAAGTTAATGGAACAATCTGGGAGAGATTTAAAAATAAGTATCTATATTTTATACCTTCAAAAAGTAAAAGAAGCCATGAAACAAGGAAACACTGTTGTAAATTAAACAGAAAGTAATGGGGTATTAGAAATCTTATAAATTGGCTGGCACAGTGGCTCACGCCTGTGGTCCCAGCACTTTGGGAGGCAGAGGCAAGTGGATCACCCAAGGTCAGGAGTTTAAGACCAGCCTGGCCAACATGACGAAACCCCATCTCTACTAAAAATACAAAAAAGATTAGCCGGGTGTGATGGCAGGTGCCTATGATCTCACCTACTTGGGAGGCTGAGGCAGGAGGATTGCTAGACCCCAGAAGGCAGAAGTTGCAGTGAGCAAGATCGCCAGCCTGGAGGACAGAGCAAGACTTTCAAAAAAAAAAAAAAATTAAAGATACTTTAATTTTTATTTTAATATAGAAATTAGATATTTAATTTCTAAAAATTAAAGATATAGTGTTTGAAATTAAAACTATATGTATGCTTAGATTGGACACAGTAGAAGAGCAAATTTAAAAGAAAAGTTAGTACATGAATGTTCATAGCAGGATTACTCATAATAGCCAAAAGTGGAAACAACCCAAATGACCATCAAACGATGAAGAGCTTAACAAAATGTGGAGTATTCAGCCTTAAAAAGAAATTAAGTACTGTTACATGCAACAACATGGATAAATCTTGAAAACATAATGCTTAAAGAACTCAGACACAAATGCTACATATTGTATGATTCCATTTATATGAGATATCCAAAATAAGCAAATCGCCAGAGACAGAAAGTAGATTAGTGTTTGCCAAGGCATAGAAAATGAAAGTAATAGGAGTGATTGCTAATGAGTACACGGTTCCTTTTTAAAGATGAAAATGTACTGGAATTAGATAGTGATAACAGTTACACAGGCAGGAAACAATGGCTCATGCCAATAGTCACAGCACTTTGGGAAGCCAAGGTGGGAGGACTGCTTGAGCCCAGGAGTTTGAGACCACCATGCGCAACGTGGCGAAACCCCATCTCTATAAAAAATACAAAAAAATAACTAGGTGCAGTGGTACACAACTGTAGTCCCAACTACTAGGAGGGCTGAGGTGGGAGGATTACCTGAGCCCAGGAGGTCGAGGCTGCAGTGAACCATGATCACACCACCGCATCCCTGCCTGGGTGACAGAGTGAGACCCTGCCAAAAAAAGCCATAGTTATACAACCCTGAAAATACACTAAAACCCACTAATTGTACACTTTAAAATGGTTGTGTTTATGGTATATGAATTTTATATCAATTAAAATAAGAAAAGGCAAAATACATTAAAAATAGATCCAAAAGAAATAATGACTGAGAAATATAAAGTAAGGACAGATATAAGTGCTATTTGAACAAATTTATCAAATGTCAAGCAGGATAAATTTCTAAAAAACAAGGCAAAATCAAAAACTAAAAAAGCCACACAGTTAACACATCACAATGAAACCCACAATAACAAGGATAAGCAGAACCCTATAAGCTACCAGAAAAAAATTAAATTAGCAAAAAACACGAGTTAGCAACGTTAAATGCCAGAAGGTGATCCAGTACTATCTTCAGAGACCTGAAGTAACTTTGAATCTGGATTTTTTTTTTACTTACTTACTTACTTTATCTATCTATCTGTCTGTCTGTCTGTCTGTCTGAAAGAGGGTCATGTTCTGTGGCCCAGGCTTTGTGCAGTGGTGTGATCATAGCTCACTGCAGCCTCCAACTCCTGGGATCAAAGGATCCTCCTATCTCA